AAACTAAATACTAGAACTAATAAAAACTAAACTAAAACTAAGCATTAAAATGCAATAACAACTAATAAAAACAACCAAATTCACTGTAAAAACTAATGAAAACTGAATTAAAAGAAAAAAGTCACAAGGAAATAAAACTAATAAAGAAAAATCTGAAACTATTATAACCTTGCAGAGGCAGCAGCTCCGACAGTAAACAACAACAACAACGTGCACAGAGTAACCTGAAGGTGGACGGACTCACCTGGGTCCCTATGCTCCAGTAGAACCAGCCCACGTAGGACGGGTGTCTGAAGAAGGCRTAGACCCCGCTGGTCACCAGAACGTGGCTCTGGGCCTTCTCGTTCTGGACGATGTGGTTGAAGTTGGAGCCGGCCGTCAACATGGCCGCCTTCCTCAGAGCCTCGCCACACAGCACCATGAGCAGACCCACCAGGCTGAGCCAGCTGGACTGTTTCAGTTCTGTGAGGGGAGAGGAGGGGGGGCAGGTAGATCAGGATCATTTATCAACAGGCTGGTTCTACAAACCCGGACCTGCAGACCCACCTGGGATGGTGAGCTTCTCCACGGTGAACTCCAGCCACGACGACACGGCGGCCAGCGTGTACTCCACGCTGTGGTTCAACAGGAAGGAGTCCAGCGACAGGCTGCGGGGGTTAATGATGGCCGTCACCAGGTACTCGGAGTAATGGAAGAACGACAGCGAGCACATGTACCTGCAGGAACACGAAGGCTCAAACACCTGGACACGCCCTCAACGTGAACTCCACTCTAAACCAAAACTCGTACGCACCAGCCGAAGTGAGTCCACGTGGTTTCAGAGAAGCTGATGATCAAACCGCAGCCAAACGTAACGCCCAGGAAGCAGGCTCTCACCGCCACCTGAAACGGGTCAAAACCACAGAGAAACACTCAAACACTGTTTGATTCAGGTTTAGATAAGAGGTCCGGATATTTGGAACCAGGACTTGAAAAACAACAAAAAGTCCACATTAGTTTTACCGTGACGAGCCAGTCTTCTACAACAGGTAAGATACTAACCACTCATAATCCCACAGCTTAAACTATCCCTTTAATAAACTAAACCGCGTGAGAGGAAAAACTTTATTTAATAATGTTTTAACAAAACTCTCCTCTGCCAATAAAAAATAAAACGTAAAGACTTGTTAGAACAAAGCTAAAGAGATAATTATTTTTAAACCTTTTATTTGTTATACAGTTCTGATTATATTAAGGTCAAATCTGAGTGGTAGTATCTGAGAGTTATTCATAATTTCAACTAACAAAATATTTAAAACTTTCACATTTAGTTTTAACTCACAAGCTAACAAAATGTATAAACATTCAAAATTAGCTTTAGCTAAAAAATGTCTCACATATGGTTTTAGCTAATAAATTATAAAACATTTTGACATGTTTTAGCTAACAACATAATAAAAACTCTCACATATAGTTTTAGCTAACAAGCTAACAAAACAATGTTGTTGACATATGGTTTTAGCTAACAGGCTAACAAATCATTTGTCAAATGCTAAAACTTTTGACAGCTAAGCAGCTAAAAGAATATAAAACTTTGACTCATTTTCTGTCACTGTGGCACCTTTGCAGCTCTGTACTGACAGACTTTTATAAAAACGGACATTTCTTGTGTCTAAAGAGCTTCTTCAGCTTCATCTGACTTAAGTTTCTATCTTAGGACCTCCTAATAGGATTAACCCATTAAACAGGAAGCTGGAGGACTCAGTGACCCAACATTTAAAGTTTAAACTCTTTCTGAAGCTTTTCAATCATCCGAACAGCAGCCCAAAGGAAACAAAACACATTCAAACCTAAATATTCGAGTGTCTCAGAGAAAAAAGTAGATAAATGCAGCTTCCTGCCGGTGTTTTACCTTGTAAAGAGGTCCTCTGTAGATGATCAGCAAGAGGCCGTTAACAACTGCTACGTAAACACAAATGGCGATTTTCCCGGGAGTTTCCGTCAGGTAGTCAAAGACCCAGTCCAAATGTCCGAACCAGGTTCTGATGAGCGGGATTAAAACCACGCTGAGCCCCAAAACAAAAGMTTTTACACTTACTCTGCCTTCTAACACCAACTTACTGCCAGCCATGATGAAAGTCCCGTCATTTCCCGAACCAAATCTCGCGAGGTTTCGTGTCGGTGACACTTGGTGTGCTGCGTTCAAACTCACTCGGAACACTCAGAGGCTTTCGACTTTTCATGTAATTTAATGATTGCTACTGAGGGTTTTAAGGCCTCAGAACATAAATATGTTTACAGATGTATTCAAGAGGAAGAGACGACTGTGAAATTACAAATTTTATAGTTATTTTCTTATGTGTAGACTATAATATCCAAATTTCCAGTTGTCTTTGAATGCAACATTTAGATTTCTTTTTTTTAGATCTTCCTAAAAGTCTGCGTTTTTAATGTTTTATGATTTTTAACATCTTAACACAAAAAGACAAACAAATTTAGAAGCAAACATTAATTTTCAGTTCTTACCGTGGAGATAAAAAAATGGAGCTGCAGGAAAAAAAACAAATTCAATATTTAAAAAACACTTTATTTCTTTATACTTTTTCTCTTCGCGTGACTTTAATTTCATACACAAACATAAATATGATAAAACATTTAATGTGTTTTAATAACAGCTTCATGTAACTCTCATTAACATTGCTTGATTGCATTATAAAAAAAGTGGTTCAGAAGTTTAATTTTCTCTTAAATTTTCATGAAGTGCTACTGAACCTGCGAGGGGACATAGGGGAGATTTTTTTTTCTCTTTTGTGTTCCCACGCAATAGTATTGCGTCACCTCGCAATATCGTTTGTGTTCCCTCTCAAAAGTCGTTTATCACTGTTGTGCTGTCGGTTTATTAACAAACTCACATGTTCACCATTAGCGAGTTAGCCTACTGCTTTAACTCAGCTTCAGATTGAATATATCACACAGACACACATGGAAGTATGTCAGATGTCGATATTTGAACACAGCACAGCCACGCAACATCAATGTCAATTTCACAAACTTGTGGYGACACATCCTGTTTTGGTAACCGGATATTACAAAATAAAAATCTGATTTAATTCAATTCATTTACAAAACAAACGTTTGCAGGTAACGCAACAGTATTGAGTGGCAACGCAAAAGAAAAAAATCCCCCCATGTCCACTCGCGGGCTCTGTATAGTTCCAAAAAACAAAATATAAACTGAGGGGAAAAAAATTCAAATCAGTCTGGAATAAAAACAAATAATAAAAATAGAAAAACACTTTTTGACATTGATCAATTCATGTTCAAAAAACGCTTCCTTTGTTTTATTTTGCAGAAAAACTAAACTACAGAGGTTTGAACTCAGGAGTTTTGTCCATTTCTGATAAAAAATCCACAACGATCAGATTTCCATTATTGCCCCCGAGCATCCCTCACAGAGGAAAGTGTTCGAGTCGCTGCTGTTTGACACCAAATCTGCAGAAAGTTCAGTTCCGATCTACTTCCTCTGGCTTCTGAAGAAAAAACTGGAAATCTTGCTTTGTGTTTTTGAAGGAGGCGACGGAGAAACTGAAAAATCAAAACAAAGAAAAACGATTAAGCATGTGTCAAAACTTTATTTTAAACTGAAAGATTAAACCAGGAACCTCATTTTAACAGACATATTTAGAAGAGCCCGAAACCCCATTAATTTTAGGACTTGAGTCTGCAAAAATCAGGGTTGGAGCCAGACTCTTATTTTGAAAAGCTTTAATTTTAACCAAACTTTTTTTTTGCTCTTTATGTTTTGTTTTTTGACAAAAAAAATACAGAATTGGGCAGAGGGTTTTAATAATTTCTAAACCTAAAATTTATAATCAGGACACAAATCATTTATAATCTGAAGAATCGATGCAGAAGAAGATCCTGCATAAAATCCAGCAACTTGGAATCTGCTGAGTCACTGTTTGCCTTCTTCTGGAGCAGAAAGAGGAGGGGCAGCACTCTTTTATCAGACAGGCAGACAAACGCGAAGTTAAAAAGAGGATTCACTTCCAGTTATAAAGAAATATTGTGAGCTCAGACACGATGGCAGTCAGCGGGAGTTTGGGGGCGTGGCCTCTGAGAGGATGAGAGAAAACCATCAGACCGACAGCAGAGATGCTAAAATATCTGAATGTAAAAAAGTCTAACATCTGTGTGAACTCTACAGATGTGGTAGGAGTCAGAGGAGACCATTACTGACTGGAAAAAAATAAACAAATAAAAACATTTTAGTCTTCACCTTCTTCTTCTCCTTGCTCCTTGTTCAGAGCCGGAACCTCGGCGGCCGAGCTGGGCTGACCAATCAGAGCRTCCAGCATCTCCTGGTACTGCTTCTTGTGACGCGGGCGAACAAACGTCCCAAACCCTGAAAAACACCGACTGGGATTCAAACCGGGGACCTGCAGACAGAAGCGTCTGCGAGGAGGACCCGAGGGGGACTCACGGATCAGCAGGGAGAAGTTCTCGTCTCGCTCCGTGAACAGGCTGACCACCGTGGACACCAGGTCCTCGTAGCGGTCCGTGGTCTTGTAGCTGGAGACGGCCTGGAAGAGCTGAGCGGACCGCTCCGTCCCGAGGGCTTTCTTCACGTCGGCCAGGAAGGCGGCGTGGACCTGGTTCTTCTGAGCAGGACCTGCTCAGACATTTGTTRAGGGAATATTTAAACTGTTTTAATGTGGTGTGAACTCTGATGCTGAAGGTGAGTTCTCGTACCGGTCTGGACCTCCTTCTGGACCTCCTTCAACCCCTGCTGACTCAGGTGGAGTCCCCCCTTGTTGAGCTGCTGTGTGTCGAGCTGACCGCAGGTGGAGCTCAGGCCTGCAGACGTCTGATTCTCTGCACCTGGAAGAAAATTGATGATTTTTTTTATTTATGCTACAATTTAGCACAAATTATTAAATAAAAGCTGATTTGTCGTTAGCCTCACCAATGCTAACGGCGGCTTATCTATGCTAGTTGCTAGCATTTCCAATGCTAACACCAGCTTATCCATGCTCATCACTAGCCTCTTTGATGCCAACACAAATGAATAATCTCCTTCTCATTTTCCAGTGCCAGGCTCTCAGTTAGCTGGGTCAGAGGCTCAGTTAGCGGTGTCGGCCTATYATTAATCACATCAACAGCTGCTTTACRAATAGATATATCCTCCTGCTACAAGGGTGTAGCAACTGCTTGTTGCGCTATAGTCTTAATTTTGTCCCTCATACCGTGTTGCACGTTTGCAACTACTACAAGATGGTCATTTTATTACAACTGCTTGTTCCTTCATGTTTTCTGAATTTCAGTTTTGCTGCAGGAGCTGTGACATCAGATAAGAACTGTGTAATGCAGGTATGCACTCAATGTAAACAAAACCTTTTTTCAGAATAGTTTACTCAAGAAACCTGAGCCTAAACATGAACTAAAACCTCAAAGCTGTTTGACCCTTTTACCATCCCAGTCCTCGTCCCTGACATGGGTCAGAACTTCTCACCGCTCTGCAGCATCAAGGCCTTCTTCTCCTCCTTGGACAGCGAGTGTTCCGGTTTGTACCCGCAGCCCAGTCCGGTCAGCTCCTGGCACTTCTCATCAAACCTCTTCTTGTGGTGCGCTCGAAYGAACTGATAAAAGCCTGCAGGATAAAGAAGATGAAACGTCTGCCACGTCGGGCAGCAAACCTAAAGAACCCAACGGACCTCGGAGCAGACTGTGAGTGTTCCAGTCTTCAGACAGGACCGAGGTCTCTGCCAGCAGCTCGTCCAGCCGGTCGTTATTCTTGTAGGCCTGCAGGGCCGCAACGATCCGGTCGAAGTTCTCCTTACTCAGAGACTTCTTCATGTCTGCCAGGTGCTGCCTGGCCCTGCTGGGCTTCCCTTCCTCAGAGACGCTCTGCTTCTTCAGCAAGACAAGAAAACTGTCTGTTAGCAAAATATCAGCAGTAATCAAACTTAGCAAACACAAAAATGTCTCTAACACAGCCAGCCTCACAGACTGAGCTCTAAGTGATCGTGCCAAAGTTTCATAACTTTATTTTGACCTGTTAAAGCTCAGACTCGCTTCCACTGTTTTATCTGTTTAGTCGTTAGCGTTAGCTTCCATTAATGTTTCATCTGTTTAGACGTTATCCTTAGCTTCTGCTATTGTTTTATTTTTTTAGTTGTTAGCGTTAGCTTCCATTAATGTTTTATCTGTTTAGACGTTAGCGTTAGCTTCCGCTAATGTTTTATCTTTTTAGTCATTAGCTTTAGCTTCTAATATTTTATCTTTTTAGTCGTTAGCGTTAGCTTCCATTAATGTTTCATCTGTTTAGACGTTATCCTTAGCTTCTGCTATTGTTTTATTTTTTTAGTCATTAGCGTTAGCTTCCATTAATGTTTTATCTGTTTAGACATTAGCGTTAGCTTCCGCTAATGTTTTATCCGTTTAGACGTTAGCGTTAGCTTCCACTAATGTTTTATCTGTTTAGACGTTAGCGTCCACTGTTTTATTTGTTTAGCGGTTTAACGTTAGCTTCCACTAATGTTTTATCAGTTTAGACGTTAGCGTTAGCTTCCACTGTTTTATTTGTTTAGCGGTTTAACGTTAGCTTCCACTAATGTTTTANAGCTTCCACTAATGTTTTATCAGTTTAGACGTTAGCGTTAGCTTCCACTGTTTTATTTGTTTAGCGGTTTAACGTTAGCTTCCACTAATGTTTTACCTTTTTAGTCGTTCGCGTTAGCTTCCACTAATGTTTTATCTGTTTAGACGTTAGCTTTAGCTTCAACTTTTTTATTCGTTTAGTGGTTTAACGTTAGTTTCCACTAATGTTTTATCTTTTTAGTCATTAGCGTTAGCTTCCACGGTTTTATTCGTTTAGTGGTTTAACATTAGCTTCCGCTAAAATTTTATCTGTTTAGACGTTAGCGTTAGCTTCCACTAATGTTTTATTCGTTTAGCAGTTTAACATTAGCTTCCACTAATGTTTTACCTGTTTAGTCGTTAGCGTTAGCTGAGCTAAGATTCTTGTTTAGTGGATTGGTGGTTCGTGAAGCTAACTGTTGGCTTACATGACTGGCTGCCTTGTATTACAGCAGGTAAGAAAAAAGAATCTCGTCTCCTTTATTTAAAAAAAAGAAGCCATAAACGTCAGAAAACAGCTTAAATGTGACACAGAGCACCAAACGTACCGGCTCCTGGACCAACTTTATTTTTCGTTTCCCTCCTCGGAGTTCATCCTCCATCCTCTTCTCATGCTGAAGGGACAGCGTGGACAAACGGCCCGTCTTTAAAAGAAACAAAGTGTTTTTAGATGTAACACAGACTTCTGATGGAATCAGCTCCTTGCTTTGTTTGATTTGATCGGTTTTGTTTAATAAACTCTACCTCTTCAGCAGCAGGGTCTCTGTGGCACTGATCACCTCTTTCCAGAGCATCCAGCAGGTTGGCTGGTCTCCTCTGGCTCTCCTTACCTTCAGACTCGTACTCGATGCAGATTCTCGGCATTCCACTGGCGCCGCTGTTTTCATCTAAACACGTAAGCGTTTGTTTGTAAACATTTGTTTTCAGGCTCGGTAAAGACACAAGGTGATGTTTTACTCTCAGACGGACCGACTCGTCTCCGCTTCAGGCTGGGAAGGTGAGCGTCCAGGACTTTGGCCTTCTGGGCGAAGCAGCTTCCAGCAGAGGAGGAGGAGGAGGAGGAGGAGGAGAAGCAGGAGGCGTCTGATAAACTGTCAGCTGCAGATGGTTCTGCTGCAGGCGTCTTTACGGCCACGGGCCTCTGGCACATTCAGAAACACAAACTGTTTGATCTGGACTAAATGAGAAGAGGTAAAAGGTTCTCAGCTGAACTCACTAGTTTCTGAGCCACCCTGAAGAACTGGGACACGTCGCGGACCATGTTCCCAAATGTTTGGTGGAGGCGAACGTAAGGTCTGACCCAGAAGGGCAGGTTCGCCAGAGCGTTAGAGTTTTTAAACCTGTGGAGGAGAAAAACAACCATCAGCTCTGATTAATTACAGGTTTGACATTTCAGAGACAGAACTGATGTCTGAGTGAAGCTCTGACCTCTGATCACACAGGAAGATGGCTCCGTAGTCCTCCTTGTGGCGGATCACTCTGCCGATGGCCTGGTTCACGGCCCTGAAGGCCTGCTGCCTGTACCAGTCCTGCCCCGACAGAAACTACCCCCCGACAGGCAGAAACACCAGAACCACCCGTTACTTGTCGGGCCGAGCCTCGTCCACGTGTTCCACAAACCTTCCCCTCACCTTCATCCCCGGAGCTTTCCTGCGGCACATTTCGTCTAAGAACTGCATCTTCAGGACGACCCGAGGGTCCAGTTTGGGGGGGAAAGGAAGGCCGGTGATGACGACGCCTCGACCGAAGGTGTCGGCGAAATCCAAACCCTCGCTGGCCTGAAGGAGACGAACAGAAGCGAGGAGGAGGAAACTGAGGGCAGCTCTGAGTAACGACATAAAAACTGCTGCTTCTGCGAGCAGCCAGGAATGATATGCATACTTTGTCCTAGAGCTGCCATTTTAATTTATATCTGTAAAGCCCCTGTGCCAAATGATGGCTATGCGTTTTGGTGCCTGTAAAACTTATAGTTTTTGAAATATTAATGTTTMATAAATTATAATGDCAGTCAATRGAGCCTTGTATTGGTCCAATACTGCCCCCTGCTGCATCTACACAATATGGTACTGCACCATAGTTTCATAATATTTAAACTCAGTAGTTCAGTGATTACAATATTAATATGATTGTATTTTGATGTTTTACTGTAATACTGTCTTTATGTTGTCCTATTGTTGTAATATATTGCACTTAAGTGTCAATAATTGCATTGGCAAAGTAAACTTTTTCTGTATACATACAATCCAATCCCTGGGATTGTCCTCTGCCACATCTCCTGTAGTCTCATGATGAGCACTGTGGGCTTTCATGTGGGAGATCAGGGTTCAAATCCAGCTACTGCAACTTTAACAAAAATCTCTTCAAACTTCATATTGTCACACAATTACCTTAATTCTAAACACCTGCTGACGTGACAGGCACAAGCTGGTATAGAAAACACATTTGAACTTGGTCAAAGTTCATTCTGCAAGTCAATGCTGCAGGCAAAGCCATGCTACGTGGCAATGCGCACTTGTTTTTACATCGTAAAAACCCATGTCTAGTATTAGATTATTTGTCATTATTTTACCCACAAGTCTTTATTTCCATTTGGTTTTACATTTCTCTGTCTCCTGTTTTTACTTTCAGCCTCATTATGTAAATGAGGTGGGCGGAGCTTGTGTGGTCAGCTCCTCTTCCTGTGTCTTTGTTTTTAACAAAACTTTAATCTAAACAGAGGCACAAGCAGCACAGTAGATCTGCACATAGATCCTGCTTCTTCCTGTCTGTTGACCAAGAAGCTCCGCCCACCTTCTTTACATGAGGCAGAATGTAAAAACAGGAGACAGAGAAATGCAAAACCATATGGAAATAAAAAGACTTGTGAAAAACTATTAAAAATATTTAAATATAAATATTTCAGACATAAATGCATGTACAAGTAAAAGGAAAAACAGTTATTTAAAAAAAAACGTGAAAATGTAAATTATGTGCTAAAATATATAATTTATTTGAACTAAGCTGAAAAAATAAATATGAAGGTCAATTAAATKATAAAACATGAGGTAAAGTTCTGTTTTTTTTATTTTAAGTGTATTTATTTATATATTTCTGCTTTTATATCCATCAGTTTCTCTCCTCCAGATTTTATTCTTATGTAGAGAAATAATAAAACTGTTCTGGTGTGATCTGTCAGAACCACATTTACACAATTCAGATGATTTTTGTGTTTTTTTAAGGCCAGTTGGCTGCAGCCATCATCGAGTTAAATCTACGGTGATGAAGATGAAGAAGAGGAAAGGGTCTCACCTTCCCGCGACACACGGCGAAGAAACTTCCTCCTTTTGAAGCTGGATCGTTAACTTTACTGTAATAACCATCGATCACCTGAAAACAAACACATTTAGTTTTATTCTTTTCAAATTTACAATAAAGACACACTTTGAGACAAAACTTTCTGTCAACATTTCCTAATTTATTTTCTTTAACAACTTTTAAATGATTTCTTTTAACGGTCGCTTTAAATTAAAATCTATGAAAATCTGATTTAACCTCATTAAAGGTTCCCTTCCCTTTGGGNTCTTTTAACGGTCGTTTTAAATTAAAATCTATGAAAATCTGATTTAACCTCATTAAAGGTTCCCTTCCCTTTGGGTTCCACAAACATGGGTTTGATGTTCTCGATGCGATCCGCTTGGCCGTTAGCCTGCAGAGAAACAAACAAACAGCTTTATTTTTAAAGCTATAACCTTAATTAACCCTTCGACGTGACGTTTGACTCACTCTCCAGAACTCCAGAGTTTTTTCCATCAAAGGGAAGGAAGGAAAAAACACCAGGAGGCCGTGAGGAACCACGCGACTGACGTTGGCTGAGGAGGAAACAACAAAAACAAAAACAAGAGACAGAAGCTCAGTTTGAAACATCCGATAAAAACAAACATAAAAAATAAACAAAACTAATTATTTCACTTGTCAACATTTTTAACTTAAATATGATCAAAAAAATGAAACATTCTGCTAAAAACTGAACGGTGGTTTGTTTACAGAGATTTATTTAAGAGGAAAAACTGAAACTGTAGAGTAACAAATAAATAAATAAAAACAAAAAGAAACAAACAGCAACTAAAAATAATGTTCAAACTGAAATATGCTCCAACAGCTGTTTAACATTATTTGAAAAACTGAACAAAACCTTTTCAGGCATCATTCGTTTACCAACAACAAAGTTAGGAGGAAAACAAAAATAAAACCAGTTTCTTTAAAAACAACTCACCAACAGTGTTCCCTAATGACGCCATGTTCTCAGGAACAAACCTGCAGAGACAAACAAACAGTTCAATAAATAAACAAATAAATAAATAGACAGAAAAATAAAAGAGTAAACAAACAAGTGAAAAACGACTTATAAAAGAAAAATGTTTCATTTTTTTGGTCTTATTCTAACTCATTTATAGACTTTTATAAAGTTTTTCCTTCTTGTTGAGACAGTAATGATGTCATTTGTTTTCTGTTGCTTTTTTAAAATTTAAACCTGAATTAAACTGTTTTTATGTCCCATTTCTCTGATCAGAAATTAAATTAAATTTATCAAACGGATATTTTCTAATAAAGAACTTTAACCACTAAAAAACTGAACATTTGTTTTGATTAAAGTAAAAACATCTAAAACAGAATCTCTTCACCTGCGCTCAAACGCTGAGCTCAGCAGGACTCCGTCTGGACCTCGGTCCACCACGCTGACGAAGATCTGGTCCCGATCGATGACGTGACCGTTCTCCAGGAGCACGGGGAACTCTCTGGAACCCAAACATCATTTTAACCACCAAGCAGGAGACAGAGGACAGGAAGTGGTCTTTCTGAGCCTCGGGTCCAAACCCTGATCTGATCCAGACTCACATCCTCATCTCTGAGGTGAAGGAGGTCAGAGGAGAGAGGGTCCCGCTGGTCAGGATGATGCAGCGGACCCCCTGATTCTTCAGATCCTGCATGCTGAAGCCCGGAGAGAAGCACCAGTAGCTCAGAACGTTTCCTGAAAGCAGCAAAATGAAACTTTGATTTTCAGCTGCTCAGATGAACTCTGTGAGAAATTAAGCAGAGTCCTCCTCACCTTGTTTCTTTGATGATGAAGACCACAGATCTACAGACTGTTTCTTCTTAAAGGAGCTGTTGTCTCGATGGATGTGAACCTGAAAAAAACAGGATCAAATTAAAAACTGTTTATTTTTCATGTTGAACTTTTATTACAGAGAAAAGCAGCTGTTTGTTCAGTGAGACAGAAACAGAGTAAGTAAGTAAAGTTTTATTTATATAGCGCCTTTCACAGAAATAAAATTCACAAGGTGCTATACATTCAGGGAAGGGGGGGTGCAGTTAAGACCGGTCATGCAGCAAACACAGTTGCGCTACTTTAAAAACAGAAAAACTAAAAACCACACAAGGAAAGATGAGGGAAAAAAAGCAAAAAACATCATATTATATCAACACTGTGACACACTATGGTGTTTATGAAAAAACCTCTGCATAGCGCAAGATTATTAGCCAGAGGAGTAAGTGAGTTTAGGGGGGCCCGAAGAATCCAGTCCCCAAAACCAGCGCAGCCATAGTTCAGAATATTGATGGAACTGTTCATTCTGTGTGGCCCTCAGCCTGTTCAGGAAACCAGATCAGACGGGTGTGAGAGGAGGGGGCAGGTGTGGGGCAGAGCCTTGTCGACGTGATCCAGCCAGGAAGAATTTAGTCAACAGATCAAGGCCGTTGTCGGGGAGATCCAGATTCTGTAATCAGTTGTTTTGGGAACAGAAGGGACAGGCAGACGATAACAATTTTCCATCTGCCTTAATGTTCTGCTGGTACATCTCAAGGTGGCGAATCCAATCAGACAAATAGTGTGGACAAATTCCACCGAGCCAATTCATCAGCTTCTCCAAGATGAATTCCATCTGGCTAGCAAAGTCCAGGGACCACAGCAGCCCGCGATCCTCAATAGAACCGCTTGCAGACTGAGTCCAGCTTGCTCAAGGCAAATGTCTGAGTTCTGATAGAATACAGCCGTCCATCCAGTTGGTCAGGCAGCCAGGAAATAAAAAGCCACCGACGCTGTTTAGTAGAACACCAGGAGACCACCAAGCCAATCTGTAGAATCCAGTGATCGGAATCCAGACGTATATCCAGAACAGAGAAGAGCAGAGGTCCCACCTTTGACATGTCCTCCCATGGAAGAAGAAGAAACTACTTTGCTCCAAAAAATTTATTGAGAGACCAGCTAACCAAATCCATAAAAATAAAAATATCCATAATTTCAGGTTTCAGGTGAAAAATGTAGAGAAGGCTCCAAGCAGCAAAGCAGGGAAGATAAGGAAGGGCAGGAGAGAAGGAAAAAGCATCTTACTCCTCTGAGAGTGGAACAAAAAATAAAAATAAAAAATAACAGAGAAAGAGAAATGGAAAGACAAAAAGACAAACAGAAAGACACAGAGAGACAGAAGTGAAGTAAACAAACAGGAAAACTAAATCTACAAAGTAACGTTGAGAAGAAGACAAACTTGTGAAGAAACCTTAAAATGATTGGAGTTGAGCTCCTTCTGTTTCTGTTGGTCCTTTTTTTCCGGCTCGCCACAGAAAACTAACTAAAAGACAAAAATCAGGAAGTTATTGAATCAGCTGGACCTGAGATATGAGCCGAAACTCTTACAACCTGCAAAAACCAAATAAAAATACGACTTTTTAACAAAAACACTTAAATTAAAAAAACTCTTCACCTGGAGGATATCAGCCAGCTTCTGCAGTCCGTTCGTATTGAGGAAAACTCCTGGTTCTGATCAGAAATCATTTGTTACATTAAACAAAATAAAACAACAGAAGAGTCTTGGATCATATAAAATGAGATCTGAAGTTAAAATAAAAATAAAACAACCAAAGCAAACTGACGTGAGGCTAAATGTGAGATGATCTGTTCCAGAGTCTCGTAGACCACCGTCTTGGTTTGATAGGTCAGGTGGGCTCGCTCCAGCAGCTCGTAGATGAAGCTGAAACAAACAGTCACTCATTTATTAACCAGTAATTGATTAGATCTGTGGTTCCTAAAGCCCGGGTCCAGGACCCACTGTGGGTCATGAAACACAAAGTTAGGGTCCCCACAGTAACCCAAGAACAACCAGACATTCACCCACATTCCAGGTTTGGTGATGCCTCTGTCGCTGGGAGCATCGTAAGAATCGATGGCTGCTTCCAGGTCCAACAGGATCTCTGTTAAAACAGACAAAACAAGCGATGACATCATAACATCAATCACAGTTAATCTAATTATGACCTTTAAAACAATACTCACGTTTGATCTTAGCCACGTTGGCTATATCCAACTTTAAACCTGAAAAAAAGACAAACATCAAAAACAAAACAAGCTTTTCTGTCATTTTAACACATTTTATGTCAAAGTTAATCTTACTGAAGCTTTATTTTGAAATGCATCTGAATTAAATAAACAATCTAACCGGAGCCGAGCGACTCTACGTTGAAGTCTTCAGTGACGGCGTCGTTTCGTCCGACCTCTTTAGCCTTCTCCACCAGGAGCCGGTCCACCGCAGAGATGGCTGAGGCCACGTCGTAGGGAGTCAGGTCAAAGGACGTGGACTCCTCACACGTCTTCTCCTGCAGGGGTCAGAAGAACCGGTCTGTGGATCGTCCCTTAAACCCCGGCCTCCCCCGAGATCATCTGAACCGGCTCGGTCTTACCACGTTGTGAGCTTCATCGAAGATGACCACGGCTCCGTTCAGCTCGATGTTGTGTGCCCTGCGGCTCTGTGGAGCGAAGCAGTCCAGAGGTCATCTCCAGTTAGCTTCAATAACCACTAATCCACTAAACAAGAATCTTAGCTCAGCTAACGCTAAACCGCTAAAAAAATTAGCCTAACTAAACAGATAGCTTCAATAACCACTAATCCACTAAACAAGAATCTTAGCTCAGCTAATGCTAAACCGCTAAAAAAATTAGCCTAACTAAACAGTTAGCTTCACTAACCACTAATCCACTAAACAAGAATCTTAGCTCAGCTAATGCTAAACCGCTAAAAAAATTAGCCTAACTAAACAGTTAGCTTCACTAACCACTAAAAAATAATCTTAGCTCAGCTAACGTTAAACCACTAAAAAATTAGCCTAACTAAACAGTTAGCTTCACTAACCACTAATCCACTAAACAAGAATCTTAGCTCTGCTAACGCTAAACCGCTAAAAAATTAGCATAACTAAACAGTTAGCTTCACTAACCACTAATCCACTAAACAAGAATCTTAGCTCARCTAACGCTAAACCACTAAAAAAATTAGCCTAACTAAACAGTTAGCTTCACTAACCAATAAAAAAAGAATATTAGCTCAGCTAACGTTAACCCACTAAAAAATTAGCTTAACTAAACAGTTAGCTACACTAACCACTAATCAAGAATCTTAGCTTCGCTAATGCTAAACCACTAAAAAGTTAGCCTAACCAAACAGTTAGCTTCACTAAGCATTAGACCGCTAAACAAGAATATTACCTCCGCTAAGGCTAAATTGCTAAAACAATTATTGGAAGCTAACGCTAACCGCTAAGACACCTGGTGGAAATGACACAAACCTGTTGTTTTTATTCCTATTGGTTTAATTTGACAGTGGGCGGGACCACCAGTGGCAAATCAGCCAATCCAAACCAGAGTTATAGCTCTGTGTAACTTGTGATACTTCGGATTACTCTTTTCAGAGTAAAAGCATTACTATGGTCACGATTGTATTTTCATAAATACTGTTTTTAATTAGTCAAAAAACAAATAGCAAATACTTTCTCTACCGTATTTTACATGTAGTCAATTTCTGTATTTGTTAAACATATTTAAATGCAAGTTTCTATAAGTTTAGCTGCTAAAGACGCTACGTGCTAACACACACGGTGCCTGCTACGTCCAGCACTGCTTGTAAGAGGGGATAGTTTTTATTTGATTTGAGATAAATGCCATAAAAAAAGAATTTTAATACTTTTTAGTGGACTTAAGATTAGTGGGACCTAATTTAGCGGAAGCTAATCAGTCTGCAAAAGACTAATCCACTAAATGAGAATCCAGTTCCACTATTAGCAGATTAGTGGAACTGTGGCCACCACTGGTATTCAGAATGTTTATTTTAAACCATTTAACCTCGACTTTTATAGATTACTCAGACTTTTAAAGGCTCCTAAGCTCAAGGGATTTATAATAAATTAAAATAAATGTATATATGTAAACCTGTATGCATAATTTTGACCCAAATGAATCTGACATTCAAGTCGATGAAAAAATGATGTTTCAAAATGAAGCGCCTTGTGATTGATTCAAACACGTTACTGTTTCGGTGCCTAAAACGGGTCACCTGTCGCTGAGCTCACCTTTGGGTCCAGCAGGTAATTGTACGGCATGAAAATGATGTCTGCCTGCTGCTTCAGGGAGCGGCTGAGGTAGTACGGACAGACCCTGCAGACAAACGTTCAGCTGTGACTCGTTTCAACGTCCAGGAAGCAGAAAAACTCAAAGTCTTACTTCTGTTTGCTGCCAAACTTCACCAGATCTTCCACGTCCAGGATGGAATTCACCAGCTCTCTGTCACAGCTCGTCTCTGGAAGACGGAAAAAAAAGTGAAAAACTTTAATCAAACGTCCTGCTGCTGTTTTATCAGATTATTTCTTTTATAAACAAGTTAAGTTTTTAAAACAGAAAAACAAACAAAAAAAACCCCAGCTGTTTTGTTTTTCCAATTTTATTTTGAAAAGGAAAAAGCATGAACCAGATACGGATGGTTTTGTAGCTATTTTTGAGATTTCTGATAGTAAAAAGTGTGTTACAAATTAAATTCATTATTATTATCACGACCACAGGAGAGGGTCGGAACGTAGATGGACCAGTAAACTTCACCCTGACAGACCGAAGCAACGTSCTCATTACTGAGGACGAGACCCGGATCCAGAGTTCTACCAGCGTTTGAAGTAAAGTCACTTYCTGTTGGGTTCTTCTGAGCTCAGTTTGAGTTTACCGTCAACGTTGTTGTAGTAATGACACGACCTGGTGGAGACTTTTCCTCTGCACATGTGGACCTGGAGGACAACAGAGACAAAACGAGGGAGTGTGTCTTTAACACAACTAATATCACCACCATAACGCTCTGCAGAACGACACTTCCTGGTTTCACAACAACAGAGTAAACCTGGACACACGGATGGTTTTATTTTTGTTTCAGCCTCAGCGGAGACCTGAAAAGTGTCAAACCTGGAACGTACCTTCACGTGGTTGCTCTCCTGACGCATCACTTCCTGGTTTATGCACAGCTGCTCTCTGGACCCCAACACACACACCTTGGGCCTGAGCCGACACAGAAACAGGGATGTTCTGATCGTGTGTGTAAACACAAACACACCTGTGTGCAGACAGGTGGTCCTCCTGATAACCAATTATCTACACGTTATCTGCCATTTATCCTTTAATTCCTACAGCAAAGCTATTCAACTGGAGGCCCGCGGGCCACATCTGGCCCACCAATTAATTCATTCATTTCTTAAGCCCAAACYCCAGGTTTCTACTTTAATTACTATAAGTTGTTTTAGTTAAACAAAGACATGTTTGGTATCTACAGAAATGTCAGACTCTTGGCTACAAACTGGTAAAAACATTTCTATAAACATCTAAAACAGTTAAAACTAAAAACGGTTTAAGATAAAACTATGAAAGTGAAAATGAAATTGGTTTAAAAATTTGGCAAATCAGAGATGTCAAAATATTATTTGTGTCAAATAGGAGGCAAAATGTGTTCTTTTGTTGTTTTATTATCATTATTTTTATCACACAGGGTTCTGTATGTTGTATTCATGATTAAATGCAGAAAAATAAACTATTTCAAAGGTAACATATCTCTGTAATACTTGGTTTATTTACATAATGACTTTAATGTTCGGCCCCTGAGCTATTAGCCTGCAGTAACTGAATAAACCTGTCCTACAGAAAACATGGATGAACTTTAGTTTTTAGACTTTTCTATTTTATTTGTTTTTATGAAAAAAAAAACTGTACAATCTAAAAATGTTCTGTGCATTTTTTAATCAGCACAAAATCATGATTTAATTTGTTCTGATGAGTTAAATCTTTAATATTTATGTAGATTAATGAGCAGTGGTGGGCACAGTTCCCCTAAAGCACTAAAACACTAACAGGGGAACTAATTTACTACTTAGTGCTTTAGGGCTAATTTCTTAATTTATTAGTGGATTAGCACTTGCTAAATTTATAATTACTAATTGAGTTCTTTAAATATTATTGATAAASATTATTGTTAACAGCTGAGGGTGAAAGCTGTCAGACATGTTGGTCATATGTCCATTTCTCCACAAGATCAGTGGTTTTCAAACTTTTTTGCTTCCGACCCACAAACTAACAGCTGCAGACACTTGTGACCCCAGATATGACTTGTTTATGTAGCAAACTTTGCTAATAACTCTGTTAAACATGGGAATAATAACTAGAAACAAACCTAGAAACTTTGATACTAATTGTTATTTATTTATAATTATTTCAAAAAACTGCAATAATCACGATGAAAATATTCCATTAGTATTTTTTTGCATTTAAATTGATGTCTGTAAATCTTCTGGGAACCCTCACTTAATGTTTTGTGGCCCACAAAGAGGTCCCGACCTCAACTTTGGAACCACTACATACGATGAAATATTAACAACATTCTGCACAGAAAATATTCTCATGTTGATTCTGAGGGATGTTCCATGGGTCAGCTGGGTTTTTAGAGTTTTACAATTAGCTTTTGCTAAAATTTTAAGCGCGTTAGTGCTTTAGAGTAAAGGGCTCGACACACGGGAGGCGACGTCGCTCGCTCTCCATTCATTTCCTATAGAAGTTGTGCGATGAGGCGACAATCGCTTGCCCTCCTCCAGCTAAGCAACTGGCAAAAATAGTGCATGTGAAATTTCACGCTCGTACACGTAGAC